CTTCCGCCGTCTCGCGCTGCCACTTCATCCGCCCGCCAAAAGGGGATCGATATCTTGGCCGGGGATCGATGGAAAACGATTCCGCAAACGTTGTCTTTTATAGTCAGCTCGCAACGACGCCAATGGGTGGATGGCCGCAAGGGCGTTTTAGGTAAACTGCTCTCGCTTCCTCGATCCTCTTTGGCTCGCTCCAAGCCTTCCTTCTTCTTCTTTTTTTTTTTTTTGGATTGGGTAAAGTTGTTTTTGTTTTAACAATATATTAAGAATCTTGAAATTTCGTTTAATTATGATAATATATTCATGATGATACAGAAATATTGCGCATATAATATTTTTTCTTTCTTTATTTTATTTATTCTGATGATTACTTGCGTATATATATAGATGAGCTATATAGATAATGTCGAGTCCCGGTCTAGTAGATTTACACCGGTTATGGTCAGACATGGTACTTTATTAATATTAACATAACGCGAGATCTGATATTAAATACACGCTGATAATAACACACGCTTTCTTTTTGCATCTACTACTCGAAAGAGAAAGAAACAGTTTAAATTCCGCTACAAGAATAAACAATAAAATTATATTCACATCTCCAATCCTTCGTCTTTCCCTTCTCCACCGATTTCCTCCCTTTCTCCTCTTCTTTCTTCATCGAACGAACCAGGTTTTCAATCTACAGAGATTAGCATCGGTCAGTGGCGACGTTAAAAATTCGCCACCCCACAGGGAATCTACTTCACACTTTCTGCTTTCCGCGGAATACGTACACCCCCGTGGACGATTAATTGCCTCGCGAGAATCGGAGAAGGATCGAGGGCGTCGATATCGAGGTGGAGAATAAAAGCATCGATGGACGATGCCCCCGCGCCGTTGCAATAAATTTGCTCGCTCCAACTTCCCATGCCAGGGGTGGGGGAGGAGGGGATCCCTTGCGTTCTCTTTGTCGATGAGCAGCGGATATTTATGGCCCTCGAAACTGCAGATTAAAACGGTAATTGTACATAGTTTCGCGCGGGACAGATCGGTCTCCAGGAAATCGGTTTACGGCGCGCGTTATCGGTACCCAGTTATAGCTTATTGAATCCACGAACGCTTCCGAATATATTTTGGACTAGATTCCAACACTCTCCAGGATTCTATCTGACGAGGTGTGTGTTTGTGTACACTTGGAAAAATTCCATAAACTTGAGGATTCGATGGAGGGATGGATTGATTTTTAGGCGGCCGATCGGCACGATTTTGTTGAATCGTGAAAAATGATTTGATAACAAAGCAAAGGGGATTATCGTTTAAGAGTTTATAGGCTATTGAGTTTCGAGATCGGTGATTAATCGTAGGAGAATGGATCGATAAAGAGATCATTGAGATATTTTGAAATTGAATGTGATCTCTTGGAAGTGATTTAATTCTGTCTGTCGAGATGGAGTTATTAGAACAGGAAATACTTGGAATCTTGAGTAACGTAGATTGACGCAAACAGAAGTTAGTAGATTGGCAGATAAATGTAGATTTTAATAGGATCCAAAAGATTTTATTCGAAAATTCTATCGAAAAATAGAATCTTTAAATAATTTTAAGAGATTTTTGTTATGAAAAATTGTGAATAAATATTTTCATTTCTTTAACTGATATACAATTCTTTAACAATATATACAATATTAAAATAATATTTTAAATATACTTGTATCATTTTAAGATAGACATTTTATTGAAATATATATGAAAAGAGATTAGATTTACTTCAAATAATAATTCATAAGCAGTTTTCAATATTAAAATTACAAATAAGATAATAAGTTTCATTTTACTTTCTCAAAATTACATTTTGCTAAAAAGAAATGTATCATTCATAGTTTTCGAAAAACTTAATATAGATACGAAAATATCATATTTCGTTTATTGAATTATATAGCAATTTACCTTCATTCCAACACTTTCACGAGCTTCAACGTTTCCCCTCTGATTTCTATAAACATCCATTCCTTCCCTCCTCGTCCAATAAAATTAGCGTGTAATCAAGCACCGACTCGACGTCACCAGGAAACAAGTGTTTTCTATTAAAGATAGAGCGCGCATACAGTTCGCGAGAAACTAAACGCAGCGTTATTAAACATCGGCTTCCAAATAATTAAGGGGAACACGAGTGAGATCGGGAGATGGTGGCTGGCAGCGCATAGAGAGGGATGGGCCAATTTGGATGGTTACCAAGGCAAACGATACGTTAAATAGATAGGACGGCTGAGCGGCAGGGAAGCCGACATAATGAGGACCACCCGCTAGCTCCGCAAGACCCGCTCGGTACACGTACACGGTGTGTCATCGAGTTTCGCTCCGTTCTTTTTACCCTCAACCCTTCCTCAAAATTTTTCAAGGAAACGAAT